GACCTTGAGAATGTTACCTTATCTGGTGTGCTTCAGAGGCATTGGTTAAAAATGGTAAAAGAACACTCATTGCCTTGGCAATTCAGTCTCATTAGTGAGCAATTAAAGTAAACAAAACCCTCCAGTGAGCTTGAGAAGAGTGCTATTGTTTGTTACATTGCCCTGATTCCTACATCTGACTAATGCATATTGAATACAAAGGATAAATATTAATTTAATGAACTCTGACATAGAGGAATATGAAAGTAATATAAAGAAAATAAATATGGCTGCCAAATTCATGACAATGGTAATAAAATGTAATTTAGAGTGTAATTTAGAGATGCTGACATGATGTTGCATTAAAGGGACACTCCACTGCCAAAAAAATTAATAAATAAAAATCAGTTAGTAGATATACCCCAAAATGAAAATGTTCATGCAATTAATTATGCCTTTTTTTCATTGGGGTTATATCTAAAAACAACTTGCATAAAGCAAATGTCGCAGGTCTCTCCTGCCGAGACTTCCTGTGGCTGTCAAATCACAGACTCCCCAATGCACCTCAATAAGTCATTGCAAGGCAGGTGCTCTGGGCAATTGCTGCCTCATGAGTTTAGATTCACTGAGTTAACCAAACCAGGAAGTCAAGTAACCTGTTGTCTGCTTTAAAGCCAGGTGGGTGTAACCAATTTATTTTATAAAAGTGTTAACATATTGAAATTTGCACTTTTTGCCAAATTAAAAAATTGCACACAAAATGTTTTCAACAAGCTAAAGTGCTTTAGAGGGCTGGAGTATAACTTTAATACGAACACAGTATTGTTTTTAAGGCATGATTAATACTTTTACATTTGAATTTACAACTGTAATGTTGTTATAATTGGGGGCTGATGATGTTTTTATTTTTTTAAGGTTCACTGTTGTGGGGATTGCAGTTAGGGAATTTTGGATAGCAAAGAATGTTTGGATTTATAGTCCACAGCATCCTGAAGCTATCAATCTCCTATCAATAAGACATTCTGAACGTCAGCCTTTGTATTCTTAAATCTTTTCATCTGTAATGATATGAGGTATTGTTATAAAAAGTATACGTTTCACATCCATAAATGTATTCTCTTTAATAGAAAAGACAATCATGGTTTGCTGAATTTGCTGAACGTTTACAAAATGATTGTAGTGAGAGTTCAAAAAATGGTTAGATAGATCTATCAGACTCTGTCACACTCCTTGCCGGCACTTACCTTCCCCTCAGCTCCAGCGCATCCTAGAGGTCCTTGGGTGCTCTCAGATTTGTCCCACTGGAATCCTGCTGTAGCTCCCTTGGCTTTCCTTGCTGCCTGGTGCTGGGCCCCGCTTGGGCACTGCCACCGCAGCAAGATGGCGGAGGCCACTTGGATGCCATCATGACATGTGGGAGGGATTGGGGAAGGCCATTGGAAAGGTGGTCGGGATAGACAGATGGAAGGAACTAGAAAATAAACATTTTGACACCCGTCTGTTCCCCTCCTTTATATTAACTGGGTCTGCACCTGCCACATGATGGGAGCCAATGATGTGAATGTTTGGTTGTTCTGGTGCTTACTCCAGTCTCCTAGCACCCTTGGTTTCTGATCCTGGTCCTTGTTCCTGATCCTGGTCTTTGTTTCTGATCCTGAGTCCATTGTTTTTTTCTAATCTCAGACCTTATATTTCAGACTGGGCCCCTTAAAACAGCATTAACACCCAGCACTCCCAAGCAACCACGTCCTGCTGAATCTTCAGAGCAGAGGTATCATCTGTGGAAGATTGCCCACCCCACCCTCCCCTCCCCACACCATGGTCATCAACTCATTTATAGATAGTGCACATCAGCAGATTTCCATAACACACCAATCAAGTCATTAAACCACTCCTCACCTGAATTCATTTAACACACTGCATCCTTACAATGGTTTAAACACTCATTGATATTTGTGTGTGTTTGTATATATGATCTACATATCTATATAATACACATTTTCTCTAATGTTCTCCCTTCTATTTTTCACTTTAACACTAACTTCTGTCATTACTAAAATATCCCTATCCTTTCACTCACCTGTCCCTGGCAACACCATCATCATTACTTCCACCTTACTCCCCTCCCCTCTCTATTCATCCCATGCACGCTACACATACCTTTCCAGCCTATCTCCACCAACTCTTTCCAAATCCTCTACATACATACCCCCCTACAAAACTTTCAAATCCTACTCCCACCTTCACTTCCTTTCTATCCTTCTGCTCCTAGCAGCTGGTGATGTCTCTCCAAACCCCGGTCCCCTCTCAACAAACTCAGCACATAATAACACAAGGATCCATACTAATCTCATACCCATCTCTTGTTCCTCTAAATCCTCCTTCAAAACTGCCCTCTGGAACGCACGCTCTGTTTGCAATATAACTAAATCCACTGCTGTCCATGACTTCTTCATCTCTCGTTCAATAGATTTACTAGCCTTAACAGAAACCTGGCTCTCCCCCTCTGACACTGACACCCCTGCATCTTTGTCCTTCGGTGGTCTCCAACTTACCCACAACCCAAGAAACTCTGAATGTAAAGGTGGTGGTGTTGGGTTTCTCCTCTCCCCTCACTGCTCTTTTAAACCTCTTCCCACCCCCCCTTCCCTCTGTTTCCCGTCATTTGAAATACACTCAATTCACCTTTTCAAACCCTTCTCTGCTAACATTGCTGTTATTTACCGTCCCCCTGGTTCCCCTCTTCTCTTCTTTGACCACTTTGCTGCCTGGCTACCCTATTTCCTCTCTTCTAACATCCCATCCCTAATTCTCGGGGACTTCAATATTCCTATAAACCCACCTTTGACCTCTGCAGCCAATAAACTACTTTCAATTACTTCCTCCCTCGGGCTATCACAGTGGGCAAATTCTCCCACCCATGTAGCTGGCAATACCCTTGACCTAATCTTCACTTATGCATGTACTGTATCTAATATCTGCAACACTCCGTATCCACTCTCTGATCACCACCTCTTATCGTTTGCTCTCACGTACCCCCTCACCCAACAACCTCCGCCTAACCACCCTCAACTCAGGAGGGACCTTAATTCTCTTGATCTCCAACAGTTGTCAGCTGACATTGATTCACAACTGCTGTCCATCCCTTCCCTCTCCTGTCCTTCACTGGCCATCTCCATATATAACTCTACTCTTACATCTGCCTTGAACACTGCAGCGCCACTCCAAACAAGCACCTCAAGGAGGACCCGCCCCCAACCATGGCATACTAAATCAACGCGCTACCTGCAAAGATGCTCCCGTTGTGCTGAACGCTCCTGGAGGAAGTCTCGCACCCAGTCAGACTTTCTCCACTATAGATTCATATTGTGTTCATACAGTGCAGCCCATGCCCTTGCCAAACAGTCCTATTTTTCCTCTCTCATTAGTTCATGTTCCCGCAACCCCAGGCGTCTCTTTGACACCTTTAATTCTCTTCTTCGCCCTGCTGTGGCCACCCCCCAAACCAACCTTACTGCTGATAACTTTGCATGTTACTTCACTGACAAAATTGAACAGCTAAGGAAAGAATTCTCCCCTCCTTGCCTTTCTGTTTCTCAATCACACATAGATCATGCCTTTCCTACCCTTCAGACATTCTCCCCAGCCACTGACCAAGAGGTGGCTGCTCTTCTTTGCTCCTCTCGCCCCACCACTTGCCCGCTCGATCCTGTCCCATCTCACCTTATCAGATCTCTCTCCACTTGTCTTGTGCCTTCTCTAACACACATCTTCAACTGCTCGCTCTCTTCTGGCATCGTCCCTGCTGACCTTAAACATGCCACTGTAGTACCTATACTAAAAAAAAAATCCCTCGACCCGTCCACCCCCTCTAACTACCGTCCCATATCCCTGCTCCCTTTTTCCTCAAAGCTTCTGGAAAGACTTGTCTTTACCCGTGTGTCTCATTTCCTCAATTCCAACTCGCTCCTTGACCCCCTTCAATCTGGCTTCCGCCCTCTCCACTCTACAGAGACTGCCCTTATCAAAGTTACTAACGACCTAATTGCAGCTAAATCCAAAGGCCACTAGTCCATACTAATTCTTCTTGACCTCTCAGCGGCCTTTGACACCGTTGATCATGCTCTCCTTCTTCAAACTCTGCAATCGCTTGGTCTCTGTGACTCTGTCCTCTCGTGGTTTTCCTCTTATCTCTCCCAACGCTCATTCAGTGTCTCTTTTTCTAATGATACCTCCTCCCCTCGCCCTGTCTCGGTTGGAGTCCCCCAAGGCTCCGTCCTTGGTCCCCTTCTATTTTCTCTTTATACTGCCTCTCTTGGCAAACTTATTACCTCATTTGGATTCCACTACCACCTGTACACTGATGACACCCAGCTATATCTCTCCTCCCCAGACCTCTCCCCTGCTGTCCTGCAACGTGTCACTGCTTGCCTTTCTTCCATCTCTGAATGGATGTCCTCCCGCTTTCTGAAACTCAATCTCTCAAAAACTGAGCTCCTTGTCTTTCCTCCTCCTAATACTGATCCTCCTCTTTCACTCCCTTCAAGTTTGTGGTACCAACATCAGCCCATCCTTGCAAGCGCGCTGTCTTGGCGTCATACTTGACTCTGGTCTCACCTTTGAGCCTCACATCCAGCATGTTGCCAAATCCTGTAGATTCCATCTTAAAAACATAGCCCGCATCCGCCCCTTTCTTGCACCAGATACTACCAAGGAGCTTGTCCATGCTCTAGTAATTTCCGCATGGATTATTGTAACCCTCTCCTGCTTGGTCTTCCAAAAAGCCGTACTGCACCCCTACAGTCTGTAATGAACGCTGCTGCTAGACTGATTTTCCTCTCTAGCCGGTTCTCTCACACCTCACCCCTCTGCCAGTCCTTACATTGGCTTCCTGTGTGCTATAGGAGTCAATTCAAGGCACTAACTCACACCTATAAAGCACTGAACAACTCTAGCCCCTCTTATATCTCCTCACAGATCCATAGGTATGTCCCTTCTCGGTCTCTCCGCTCTGCCCGTGACCACCTCCTGTCCGTTGTCCGCACCCGTACGGCCAACTCGCGCTTGCAGGACTTCTCGCGGGCGGCTCCCTTCCTATGGAATAGCCTGCCTCCCGCCATCAGACTCTCCCCTAGTCTTGCATCTTTTAAGAAGTGCCTTAAAACCCATCTCTTTAGGAAAGCTTATGGCCTCCCAGACTAACCCCTACCTCACATACATGTCTCTTGCCCTCTCCTAAAGGGCAGCCCACCTTATTTGATCGCAAATTCCTGTCCTACTGTGTTTTACACCCCACCTCCTATAGAATGTAAGCTCGATTGAGCAGGGTCCTTTTCAACTTATTGTTCCTGTAAGTTTATTTGTAATTGTCCTATTTATAGTTAAATCCCCTCTCATAATATTGTAAAGCGCTACGGAATCTGTTGGCGCTATATAAATGGCAATAATAATAATAATAATAATAACCCAGTTTCTGGTTCCTGATTTCCGGTTCTTGGTTCCTGTTAAAACTTCTTGGCTACTGACTTTTAGCTTTGATTTTGATCACACTTCTTGTTTCCAACCCTTGGCTTCTGACATCCTGCTCTCTACTACTGGATCTTCTTGATCTCCTTTTCTGCCAGCCCTGATCATCATTCCACCTGACAGCGCTTTCTGGCTTCTTTTATTCCTCTGTAAATAAATGGATCCATACCCTCATAGATCTTCCAGGTTCCTGTATCACTCTCTGTCACCTGGGAAAGTTGTGTTTTTTTAAGCGGTTGCCATTCCACTGAACTAAGTTCCTCTCCAAACAAACCAGTAGGTTGTCATAGGGTCATATCTTTTTACATGTTCTGCCTATGCCATTTATAACTCTGAGTAATATAACATTCACATCATACATGTAATATATAGCACTACTGCTTAACAGATATAATGCTGATGCGCAATGGAAAAACTGGAATATAGGACCAAAATCTAGATAGAATGCCAGCAAAAAATAAGCACTACTGGTGAGGCTTTTCTGACTAAGGTCTTATTTCACAAGTGTTTGCTAAATGTTATCCGTAAGCTGTTCTTATTACTAATAGATATTTATGACTGAAACATGCTAACAGGTTTCAAAGCTCTTACCACCACTAATATCTTATCGCTTTGCATAATTTGAGTCTGTATTAGTATGTGTATCATGGGAGCAGGATTAAATTATCATTATTTAAACAAATGTTTGAATCACTGTCAGTACCATGGACAGATCCTTATGCAATGCAGTGTTACACCTTGAATACGTTGTGCAATTGTGTGCACCTGTTCTTAAGAAGGATATTATGGCACTAAAAAAGTGCAGAGGCAGGCTGCAAAATTAATAAAATACATAGAACATTTTAGTTAGAAACATAGAATATGACGGCAGATAAGAATTCGCCCCATCTAGTCTGCCCAATTTTCTAAATACTTTCATTAGTACCTGGCCTTATCTTATAGCTAGGACAGCCTTATGCCCATGCTACGCATGCTTAAACTCCTTTACTGTGTTAACCTCTACCACTTCAGCTGGAAGGCTATGCTGTGCATCCACTACACTCTCAGTAAAGTAATACTTCCTGATATTATTTTTAAACCTTTGCCCCTCTAATTTAAGACTATGTCCTCTTGTTGTGGTGGTTTTTCTTCTTTTAAATATAGTCTCCACCTTTACTGTGTTGATTCCCTTTATGTATTCAAATGTTTCTATAATATCCCACCCGTCTCGTCTTTCCTCCAAGCTATACACGTTAAGTTCCTTTAACCTTTCCTTGCAAGTTTTATCTTGCAATCCATGAACCAGTCTAGTAGCCCTTCTCTGAACTCTCTCTAAAGTATCAATATCCTTCTGAAGATACAGTCTCCAGTACTGCATACAATACTCCAAGTGAGGTCTCACCAGTGTTCTGTACAATGGCATGAGCACTTCCCTCTTTCTACTGCTAATACTTCTCCCTATACAACCAAGCATTCTGCTGGCATTTCCTGCTACTCTATTACATTGTCTGCCTACCTTTAAGTCATCAGAAATAATTACCCCCAAATCCCTTTCCTAAGATGGCAGGTTAGGACTCTATCATATATTCTGTACTCTGCCCTTGGGCTTTTACGTGCAAAATGCATTATCTTGCATTTATCCATATTAAATGTCAGCTGCCACAACTCTGACCATTTTTCTAGTTTACCTAAATCATTTGCCATTTAGCTTATCCCTCCTGGAACATCAACCCTGTTACATATCTTAGTATCATCAGCAAAAAAACATACCTTACCATCAAGACCTGCAATATATCTAAGAGAATGGGTCCAAGTACAGATACCTGAGGTACCCCACTGGTGACAAACCATGCTTTGAATATACTTAACTGATTACAACCCTCTGTTGCCTGTCACTCAGCCACTGCCTTACCCATTCAACAATATTGAAATCCAAACTTAAAGATTGCAATTATTGATAGCCTTCTATGTGCAACAGTGTCAAATGCCTTACTGAAATCTAAGTAAGCAATGTCTACTGCACCACCATGATCTATTATTTTAGTTACCCAACAAAAATATCAATAAGATTAGTTTGGCAATTAAAAAATAAGAAAATCCAGAACACTCCATTATACCCTAAACAGCAACTTCAGTGTTGACAGATTTAGTTATTTTTTTTTATTTTTTTTTAGTTTACAAAAAAAACTAAAAAAACTAATCCAGGTAAAAAAAAATAATGGGGTTTAGTTACATTATATGATCATACATTGCATATGCCTGCCACAACCTCAATGCACCCCATCTTTGGCAGGTCCTACACTACCAGCCTAGTGTCTGCTTCATGAGCTACTTACTTGGGGAAAAAATTAAATCTAGAGTTCTCTGCATTGCATGGCTAAATAGGGCCCTGGGATGAGGCACTTGTGCCAAGGAGTTGCCAAAAGATGGGGTACATTGATGTTGTGGCAGGCTTATGTATGTGTGTGTCTGTCAGTGAGTGTTTGTGAGTGTGTGTATGTCTGTCAGTGTATGTCAATCCATGTGAATGTGTCTGTTAATGTGTGTGTGTGTGTGTGTGTGTGTGTGTATGTGTATGTGTGTCTCTCTGTGTGTGTGTGTTAATGAGTGCTTCTGTGAAAGTGTGTGTCTGTAAGTGAATGTGTGTGTGTGTGTGTGTGTGTCTGTTAGTGAATGTCAGTTATTATCAAATCAGTGAGAGTCTGTGTCTGTCAGTGACATCTGTGTGTTTGGCATTTAGTTTATATGACTGTCAGTGTGTGTCTGTCAGTGAGTGTTTGTGAGTGTGTGTATGTCTGTCAGTGTATGTCAATCCAAGAGAATGTGTGTCTGTTAATGCATGTGTGTGTGTGTATGTGTATGTGTGTATTTGTTAGTTAGTGTGTCTGAGTGTATGTGTGTGTCTGTCAGTGAGTGTCAAATCAGTGAGAGTGTGTCTGTCAGTAACATCTGTGTGTTTTTCATTGAGTGTGTGTGACTGTCATTGTGTGTCTTTCAGTAAGTGTGTGTCTGTGAGTGTCTTTGTGTGTCTGTGAGTGTGTGTGTGTCTGTCTATCAGTGTGTGTCAATCAGTGAGAATGTGTGTCTGTTATTTGCGTGTCTATGTCTGCCAGTAAGCATGTCAATGAATGTGTTGTCAATAAAAGTGTTAGAGTATGTCAAGTCGGTGAGTGTTTGTGCCTTTTAGTGAGTGTATATGTATCTGAGAGTGTGTTTCTGTCCGTGAGTGGTTGTGTTAGTGTGTGTCTATTACTGAAAATGAACCAGTCAGTGTATGGCAGTGTATATGTATCAGTGAGGGTGTGTTGTTAGTCAGTGAAAGTGTGTGTTAGTTACAGAAACAGTGTATGTGTGTCAATAAGTGTGTGTATGGGTCAGCGAGAATGTGTGTGCTTAAAAGGATGAGCCACAAAGTGGTTTAGTTCTAGGAAGAAAAGGTGGGGCTTAAAGCGGAACAGGTGGGTCTTAATTAGAGGTGATGTCTTGACAGGAAGAGATGGGTCAGATTTAGATTACGGGGGTGCCCAAATAGCACAAAACCAAAACCAAAATACACCACTGCTTGCAAACACATAATATTCAGGAATACCATTTTTAATTTGTGGGGTAATAGCTTTTTGATCAAAGGAGAGATATGTTTTCAATTCTGGGGTCTATAAGAAATTTTGTTTAGTTTGTTGCAAAATTGGAAAGCTCTTCAAACTATGTTTTTTTTGCCTTCTTTTTTGATCAACAACAAAAACAGATGTAAGAAAGGCTGAACTTGATGGGCACATGTCTCTTTTCAGCATGTACTAGACTGATTGTAGAAACTGCTAAACTTTATTGTGGGAGTATTCTCAGTTTTGTAAGGGACAGCTTGATTACTTTTTGATGACTGCTGAATTTATATATACCTATTAGAAGCAGAATTAGATTTTTAGTTGTAGAATGGACCACCTGTTGTGCACACATAATAGTCAGCCTTATAAATTGGTTATAATGAATTTCAGGCCACTACAACTATCACTTGTACCTCCAACTCCGAATGGCCAAGTAGAAAAATATGTAGCTGTTGAAATAAAATCACATCCCATAGCCATCTTATTGGAGAGTGTTATAGAATAAAATCAACACAAATCAGTTCCAACATACCTGATAAACAACAGCTTTGTTTCTCTACAGTCTGGATTTAGATGTAAACACAGCACAGAAACGGTGCAGATGGGATGATATACCATTATTTTTATATAAGGGTATGATTGTCACTGTCATTTTACAAAAACTTTCTACATTCTTTGACACCATGAAGTAGCAAAGTAAGTAACAGGCCTAGGAGGAATAGCACCTAAAGGGATTTACTATTTTCTTCCCAACTGCACCCAACAAGTGAACATGTGTGACAAAACAGATGCAGCTATTTAAATAACATTTGGTGTCCCACAAGAATCATCACTATCACAACTGCTGTTTTAACATCTGTATAAAATCAGTTGCAAAACACCTGAGAGATAGAGACCTACACTTTCACCTATACACTGATGACACATAGCTAGACATTCGAGCATCTAAGGATCATAAAAGACATGCAGCTATTATCACAGCAGCACTCAATCAGATATCATCCTTATATTTTATTGTATGGGGCAATTCTTTAAGGGATTGACCATGATATCAGAAGTACTAGATCCAGATTAAGATTGCCTACAGTAGGCCCTATACAAGGTGCCATATTGGGGGTTCTTCCTAGAGTACTGGGCTTTGCTTCTATGTATGGTGTGTTTAAAATTGTGTGTGTGTGGAGG